CCGTTTGTCTTTAATACAACATTCAGTTTGACGCTGACCGCCATACATCCATCCTCATTTCGGGCGAAAACAGGATGACCTTTCGTTTGTCTTATAATCAACATACTCAAAGCTAGGACTCGTTTTTGCCAAAGTTTTACATTATCATTAAGTGAAAAAGCCATCGACCGAATTAAGTTACCGGATGAGATAAGACACGAATTTTCCAGGGTAAGAGGAAAATTCTCATAGGACCTGGATGAAGGCGATTAAAGAAAAAAAAAGCCAAATTGTAGAAACATCTCCAGCACTACGGGATGGATGTATGAGTGAAGGAATCAGCGCTTAGTGTGAATGGGTCTCACAAAATCTGCTAAAAAGGGCATTTCGAGATAAGGTGAAAATAGGCAAGCTAAAATATGTGATAGTGCATGAGGCGCGGATATGTGGTAGAGGAATGCACCAAGACACGAGTGATACAACGACTGTTCAGCTGAAAGTTGTTCATGCGATGTGCTTTCCTTGTCTCTTTGACGAGTTGTAGTTTGGTGCTAAGACTGGCAAGGCTCATAAACGATGCCAGCATATCATAAGCAAATGTACTAAGCCTACTGTAAATCCACGATCAATCGTCATGAATTATATGACATGTTCAACATGACCAAGTTGCGTAAACGAGGTCAAGTCACTTTTGGGCACAGTTTCATCAACGCAATAATTTTCCTTATATGCATGCTACTAGTGGTTGGGCATAACTTTTATTTTCCGAAAGGAGATTTTTATTATCAATGACTGTCATTATTTACTCTCAGCACAATCTTTATCCCTAATCTTACTAAATTAGTCACTGGTGCCGACTTATTCCAACACTCCGGATCTCTTACTCGGTCATCCAAAGAAAAGAAGCAAATAAATCACCTTATTTCTGGTGACGCCGCCGACGTTCATTCACATAAGGCTCATGTCTCTTTATCGTTCTCCCGCAAGCAGAATCAATCACAGCACCATTCGCACCAAGTTTCTCAGCTTCATCAACTAAAACCAAATGAACAGGAAAGAGAGTCATCTTCTTCCCACTCCTTCGAGGCTATCAGTAACCCGGATGACTCAAAGTCGCCCATTCCAGCACCTCAAACAGGAGGCCTACTTCTGCCAAATGATTCTGGACAGTGTGGACCAACGCTTTCTGGTGTCAGTCGTTCAAAGACAAGTATAAAAGCAAGGAAAACAAAGAGGTTTGGCCCCGGACTTGTTAATTGTGTTAGCACTAATAGCCATAAGAAAGCATGCATGCACTCATCCGTAAGCATGGACGTCTTCGTGTATGCGCACATACTGCGCCACAGATAATTTTAATTGTTATGATACAAAGTTATCCTTCTAACCCAGAG